TGCAAGCTGGTTGCCGTTTATGTTTCAAAGTTAGTGCAGTGAGTATTTTTTTTTCTTTTTGGACCCTTTTTTATTTATTGTTTTGCCATTTTTATATCATTTTCTCAGTATTTTTGGCTGAAACCAGAAATGATGCATGTGGCAGAAACAAATCATGAAATTGAGTGCACGTCTGTGTCTGTAAATCTTACATGTATTTTCAATCATTCCTCAGTGAGATGTCTCGTCTGTGTTCTCAAATATTATTGAACATGAACCATAGTTACTCTAGTAGCCTTGGTAGGTCAAGTTCACCTGTGGATAGTGAGGCTGTTTGTGTGGTTCTCTGTCATCTCTCTAAACTCCATGCTGAACAAGGATATTACAATGCTGCTTTGGATGTTATTAACTACATGAAGAAAACATATCCCAGTCATTCTCAATATTCTAAGGTAACAACAATCTGATCAAAATAAGATCTTTGTTAGGCTAACTATTATTTAAAAAAAAATATTTAATTATTTTTTTAATTCATTTTTTGATTTAAAAAAAAAGATTTTGTGCAATTTAGCTTTTTAAATTTTCTGGTAGAGATAATTTTTAAACTAATGCTGTTGCAATCAGGGATAAACCCACCAATCACCACATATTGTGGCAAAACCCAACACTCACCACATATTGTGGCAAAACCCACCACTCACCACATATTGTGGCAAAACCCAACACTCACCACATATTGTGGCAAAACCCACCACTTACCACATATTGTGGCTCAACCCACCACTCACAACATATTGTGGCTCAACCCACCACTTACCACATATTGTGGCTCAACCCACCACTTACAACATATTGTGGCTTATGGCAAAACCCACCATTCACCACATATTGTGGCAAAACCCACCACTCACCACATATTGTGGCTCAACCCACCACTTACCACATATTGTGGCTCAACCCACCACTTACCACATATTGTGGCTCAACCCACCACTTACAACATATTGTGGCTCAACCCACCACTTACAACATATTGTGGCTTATGGCAAAACCCAACATTCACCACATATTGTGGCAAAACCCACCACTCACCACATATTGTGGCAAAACCCACCACTCACCACATATTTTAGGGTCAACCCACCACTCACCACATATTGTGGCTCAACCCACCACTTACCATATATTGTGGCTTGTGACAAAAACCAACACTCACCACATATTGTGGCAAAACCCACCACTCACCACATATTGTGGCAAAACCCACCACTCACCACATATTGTGGCTCAACCCACCACTTACCATATATTGTGGCTTGTGACAAAACCCACCACTCACCACATATTGTGGCAAAACCCACCACTCACCACATATTGTGGCAAAACCCAACACTCACCACATATTGTGGCAAAACCCAACACTCACCACATATTGTGGCAAAACCCCACCACTCACCACATATTGTGGCAAAACTCACCACTCACCACATATTGTGGCAAAACCCACCACTCACCACATATTGTGGCTCAACCCACCACTCACCACATATTGTGGCTCAACCCACCACTTACCATATATTGTGGCTTGTGGCAAAACCCAACACTCACCACATATTGGTAGGTCAAGTTCACCTGTGGATAGTGAGGCTGTTTGTGTGGTTCTCTGTCATCTCTCTAAACTCCATGCTGAACAAGGATATTACAATGTTGCTTTGGATGTTATTAACTACATGAAGAAAACATGTCCCAGTCATTCTCAATATTCTAAGGTAACAACAATCTGATCAAAATAAGATCTTTGTTAGGCTAACTATTATTTAAAAAAAAATATTTAATTATTTTTTAATTCATTTTTTGATTTAAAAAAAAAAGATTTTGTGCAATTTAGCTTTTTAAATTTTCTGGTAGAGATAATTTTTAAACTAATGCTGTTGCAATCAGGGATAAACCCACCAATCACCACATATTGTGGCAAAACCCAACACTCACCACATATTGTGGCAAAACCCAACACTCACCACATATTGTGGCAAAACCCACCACTTACCACATATTGTGGCTCAACCCACCACTCACAACATATTGTGGCTCAACCCACCACTTACCACATATTGTGGCTCAACCCACCACTTACAACATATTGTAGCTTATGGCAAAACCCACCATTCACCACATATTGTGGCAAAACCCACCACTCACCACATATTGTGGCTCAACCCACCACTTACCACATATTGTGGCTCAACCCACCACTTACAACATATTGTGGCTTATGGCAAAACCCAACATTCACCACATATTGTGGCAAAACCCACCACTCACCACATATTGTGGCAAAACCCACCACTCACCACATATTTTAGGGTCAACCCACCACTCACCACATATTGTGGCAAAACCCACCACTCACCACATAATGTGGCTCAACCCACCACTTACCATATATTGTGGCTTGTGACAAAACCCACCACTCACCACATATTGTGGCAAAACCCACCACTCACCACATATTGTGGCAAAACCCACCACTCACCACATATTGTGGCAAAACCCACCACTCACCACATATTGTGGCAAAACCCAACACTCACCATATATTGTGGCTTGTGGCAAAACCCAACACTCACCACATATTGTGGCAAAACCCACCACTCACCACATATTGTGGCAAAACCCAACACTCACCACATATTGTGGCAAAACCTACCACTCACCACATATTGTGGCTCAACCCACCACTCACCACATATTGTGGCTCAACCCACCACTTACCATATATTGTGGCTTGTGGCAAAACCCAACACTCACCACATATTGTGGCAAAACCCAACACTCACCACATATTGTGGCAAAACCCAACACTCACCACATATTGTGGCAAAACCCACCACTCACCACATATTGTGGCAAAACCCACCAACCACCACATATTGTGGCAAAACCCACCACTCACCACATGTTAGGGCTAAACCCACCTCTCACCACATGTATGGGAAAACTCACTACCCGCCAAATGTCACGGCTATAACCACAATTCATTGGTTGAACCTCTATCTATAAGAGATGATAACATGTGTGTTATCCATGTAAACAGCCTATTTTCTTGGGTAAAATATCAGCACATTCATTTCTGGTTAGAAGTATTTGTGATTTTAAAATTTTTTAACTATATTTAAATTTTTTGTATTAGATCCACCAGAAAACATTTCAATTTAACTGTAATAGGTATATTGGTATTTATTTATTATGTTTTCATTTTATTCAGCTATGGATGATGGTAGAACAACAGATATCTTTTACCAGGGCAATACATCATGCAAAGTGGACTGCAGCTGAACAAGCTGTTCTTAATATCGTCTCAATTGATGAGGTAGAAGCCCTCTACAGGTGAATAATGTAAATTATTTTGTTTTAGCACTTCATTGATTTAATTCTATCACCATGATTTAATAGCCACTTTTCCAAACATAGGAATGGTTGCCAAATTGGTAACTGAAGCCAAATGCCTACCATGTAGACCAATCAGAAAGGTTCTTGCCTTGTCACAATGTCATTCTATTTCTTCTCAGAAAGTGTATTGTATTGAGGATGAAAGGAGAAACTTCAGAAGCATACAAATTATTGAATGAAATGTTGATACACTGTCAACATAGGAAGAAAGGATATACTGCTGAACACCATACACGGTGAGTAATCCAATGAAAGGATACACTGCTGAACACCACACATGGTGAGTAATCCAATGAAAGGATACACTGCTGTACACCACACATGGTGAGTAATCCAATGAAAGGTTACACTGCTGTACACCACACATGGTGAGTAATCCAATGAAAGGATACACTGCTGAACACCATACACGGTGAGTAATCCAATGAAAGGATACACTACTGAACACCACACATGGTGAGTAATCCAATGAAAGGTTACACTGCTGTACACCACACATGGTGAGTAATCCAATGAAAGGTTACACTGCTGTACACCACACATGGTGAGTAATCCAATGAAAGGTTACACTGCTGTACACCACACATGGTGAGTAATCCAATGAAAGGATACACTACTGAACACCATACACGGTGAGTAATCCAATGAAAGGATACACTGCTGTACACCACACATGGTGAGTAATCCAATGAAAGGATACACTACTGAACACCATACACGGTGAGTAATCCAATGAAAGGATACACTGCT